ATATATATATATATATACATATATACATACATACATATATACATATATATTTGCAAAAACAGATAACTCCATTTTTAAACCATGTTTTTTCATTGTGCATTTCAATTCATCTCAATCAAACTGCAGTTGGGTTATTTTGATTAGGTTAAAAAAATAACTAAAAATACAGCTAACTAACGCAATAAAAACATAACATAATAAAAAACATGATTTTTGAAAATTTTTAAACGGAGTTCTGTTTTTGCAAATAAACTTCATATATAAAATAGGCATAAAGCTGTAATTTTATGAAATAAGCACACAGTGACGCTAGCAGATATTTACTTGCACATAAGCAGAAGGAAAATGATTTACAGCTGAAAGATGAACTTGTATGTACATAAAAATTAAAAGCAAATGCCAGAAAGTCATGACGATCATCACAATAATGTGACGTTAGCCATTTAACGTTAGCTGCTCTCTCAACCAGTGAAAACAAACACTCTCCAGAGTCACTCTGCTCTCTCAATCCTTCACTGTTTTCGCTGTTTCGGAGCCACTAGCACGTTACTAAACAAGGGCAAACATACGAAGGGAATGTAGACAGAAAGCCGTGTATTTGAACACATACCACTCCTTTCTTCATGGTGGCTGCCATCTTGAAGAACGGGAAGCGGACTGCGTGCACGCGACGGAATGGAGCACGTGGGCATTCACGAGTTTGTTGCGAGCTTCTGTTGCCTTTTCAAAAACGTGCTACTTTTGTCAGAGGGAGAATTAAATATATGGACCTTTTTTTCACATTTCTGGATTTCTCAGCAGCGGAAGTCGTCACAGTTAGGTTAACTTCAACAGCAGTGAATGGGAGAGTAGACCTACCACAAATATATTTTTAGCATTCCCATTTGCTCAAATAGCAAAAGAAAAACTCCACGATAGTGTTTTCATGACTGTTAAAAAAGGAAAAAAAATTGAGAGAGACTGATAACGGCAGTCAGAAAAGAGAACGATGTCAAATTTGCATCCCTTTCATAGACGCTGCATTAGAAACACCCTCGCATTAGCTAGTTTTTTTATGCAAAGGTGATATAATACAAAGTATAGTGTTGTAAATGTACATACATTTAAAATATAAATCAAAATATTACAACAAAAAAAAAAAAACGTGAGAATTTACGATAAAGATGACCGTTAAACGCGTCTTGCGATTACTTACGTTTTGCATTTCGGTTTTCTTGAAATTATCCACCGTTTCTTTGTGGGTAGGATTTTCAGAACACTTACTGACATCTTCTGGACAGTAGATTTATTTTCACATAGATTGAAGTTGAACCAGAAGCCTACTTTTTTTTTGTCCCAGGTATTGATTTCCATTTTCCACCTATATACCTGTCGATGTAGCCTTTTCAAAGAACCAGGAATAATACATAAATAAGCATCTTAAAAATATGTCATATTTCACAACTAAATGTTATTGAAGGCCTACTTGTTTACTTTCTAAAAATCCACAGGGCCACAAGTGGCCATATGAAGAAAACCCCATAGGCCTACTTACATTCAGCTTTGCCAAACTGACTTGTCTGGATAAACTCCATCTTTACTGTAGTTATTTTGGTTGTTCCTATGGTTTTTTGTAGTCATTTTGAAATGCATTTGTGATTTATTATGTGCTTTTATCTGATGCATTTTCTTTTTCAATTCAATCTTTGTATTGCTAAGTAGAAAAACTGAACCGATCTTGACATCTCAAAATGTCTTCTTTTATGTTTTTAAGAAATGCACGACAGACAATGAAGACCGAATCTTCATTTTTGGGTGAACCATCTCTTTCAGCCACAGAATAGCCATGGGATCGAGTGTCCAGTGTGCTTCTGGTAAGTCGTGCAGGACTCGAGCTGTTGAATATTGAGTTAACATAATGACAGCAGACACAACCTGACTGAACAAACTCGCTGTAGTTGCCAGTGCTAGTTTCTTAAACGTCCTCTTTGTAAACAGCATTACACCCAAAGACAAATATTGGGATGATATGCAATTTCCTCGCTTTTTCTCAACATATATGATTGTTTTTAATAGCTGTCATTAATTTACATGTGTATATTTGATTATCGATGACAAATATTAATTCGATAAATGTGAAAACTTCTGTGCAGCCTTATATCTGAATGAAAATATGCTCCGTTTGGATGATTTAGTGGAATGCCTGAGGTTTTTCAAGGTTTTTTGCTGTTAGCATGTTGCAAGAATTCCTTTCATGGTGGCAGATCGAGTTGACGGTGACCACGAAGGAATTTGCTTTTCGCCCCCAGTGTGTACATTTACAATGTGACTCTGTATCCATGAACGGCGCTTACATGACAAAATCTCACCCTCTGCTGATCTGCTCCTTTGTTCCTTGTCATGCTTTCTGTTGAATAGGAAAACGCAGCGCGCTGTATATATTAGAGTGTTTGACATTCATTTCATAAGATATTAAAGAGTTTACAGTATGTTTTGGCAAAGCGAGAGGATTCCTCAGCTCAAATGACCATGTGTGAATTGAATTTAATTGAATTTAATGGGAATGGACTGAAATGACTGAAATGGCCTGACTGGGCCTGTAGGAGACAGTTGGCATGTGTTTCGACTGTATTTATGCATGTTGTGCCATGTAAAGAATTGTATTATGTTGAGAAAATATCGTAAAGGTCAAGTAGATTGATAATTTATGCTAAAACAATCTAGAAAAAGGGTGTGCAATATAAGTAGGGGTTCACAATGACACGTATTTAACATCAATTCATTTTAATTTGAATTCATTTGTACATCAAGCTGTATTAGCGCTGAATAACTCATATAAAAAGTAAATGTCCTTTTTTTTTTTCTTTTTTTTTGTATGTGTGTGAAAGCTCTGCATTCTGTGTTGTTTATGTGATAAAGTATTGTAACCTTGAGTGAACCTGCTGTAACGTAAGACAAATTTCAGACTCACTCTGACAATAAAGTGTATCGTATCATATCGTATCGTATCAATTATGCTGTGATTACATCACATCACAATGCAGGAGAACAGTCAACGTTATGTAAGCCTATACCTACTTTTGTTGTCTGTTTTTTTCTCGTTCAATGATAGTATTTTTTCATGTCAAGGTTTGCATTGAAGTACTTTTTCTATATTATTATTCCTATATTTTTCAAACAGTCTAATAACGAGAGACGCATCGTCAAAGTATGTTAATATTTCAAAATTAAGTCTGATGATTTTATTTTTTTACAATATACTGATTAATTAATCAAATGAATTGCAGTGCATCTCATATGTCAATATTTGCTTTAGAAGTCAAAATATAGTTTCCATATTATTGAACATGAGCCACTGTAGTGTGCAGCAGTCTATTGAACAAATGCTTTGTATTTAGATGGTACTTTGCTTTAGGATTTATTTTACAATCTGGAGCCGATGATCAAAACCAGGGTTCATCATGATACCCAAACACATCAACAAAAATGTTTAATGAGCTTAAACTGATCAGTTTAACAGGCTGGAAAGATCAAATAGTCTGGTTAATGAATCTTCAGTGAAGTCCAGAACAGGGTTTTGTAGTTAAACAAACTCAAACTAAAACTATTTCAAGAAAGAAAGATTGACTGAATTCAAATAAAATATAAAACAGCATTAATTTTGTTACTATTACTTGTCAACTCTACAAAAAAAAACAAAAAATTACAAAAACACCAAATAAAATAACTAAAGCTTTAACTAAAATGAAAATGAAAATGGATATAAGAAAAATAAAATATGACTGAAAATATGAATAAAAACTACAATAATATCACATTGAAAATCTAGGATTTAAAATCTAATTTAAGTTTTAATGTAAACAACTTTTTGGATTTTTCTTCAGTTAAAGCACAAGATGCTCTTTGAAATATATCAAAATATGATCATCTTTCTGACACTGATATTAATTTTTAAGGCAACTTACAGTACTTTTAAAAACCAAGGCTGCATTTATTTGATTAACAGTAAAACAGTCAAATTGTGAAATATTATTACAATAATAAAAATGTAATTTATTCATGTGACGCAACGCTGAATTTTCAGCATCATTACTCCAGTGTCACATGATCCTTCAAAAATCATACTAATATGCTGATTTAGTGCTCAAGAAACATTTCTGATCATTAACAATGTTGAAAACCATTGTGCTGCTTCATATTTTTGTTGAAACCAGATTCTTTCAGGATTCTTTGATGAATAGAAACTTCAAAAGAACACATTTTCACATCATAACTCCTACAGTTAAGTGCTTTTTATGTTCCTTCCCATGTATTCTGCAGGTGAGCAATCATTAAATAAATAAAGGCTTAGGCTGGTAAAGCCTGATGTCATGTACTCTGTACTCAAGCCCTGGATGGGAGTCACACTGCGCAAATAAACTTTTGCTATATCCTCTACACACATCCTGTTTGGGCTCAACCACACCTGCAAAACAGGCTGTTCTCAGATCAGCCTGACGCTCTCTCCGGTTCAGTGCTTTGAGTGAAGCAGTGGATGAGACGTCTGATGCCTTATCTTTGATGTACAGTATGTGATAATCATGTCACCTTTATTTAGGTGGAATAGCTCATCAGTGAGAAACAATAGGACATGATCATGAGTTCATCAGTGCTAATAGGTTCATAGGCCAGGTTTTGTCTCACAAGTATCTTAAGGTAATAAGTTTTGAGCCCCACCCTCTCTTAGGACAGGTATATGTGTACACACGCAGGCTGACAGACAGCAGACTGCTGGAGATTACTTTAATCGAGCTTTGGAAATTGTACACTGACTCTAATTGTCAGTTTGGTGCACAAGACAGTGGAAAGGTAAATGCAAATATTTTTTAATTAATTTTAGTATTTTTATTAAATCAGTATATGCAATTGTGTGTTAGATATAGTAATTATAAATAGTATTTAGTATTTATAATTATCAAGCTTGCATGGGATTGAACCTACAGCCTTTACAAAAACAGGTCCTGAGGCACTCCACCCTGCAGCGATCTGTAGTGTTTCTAATTAGGACTTGTGATATGATTCAATGTAACAGACCTATGAAAAATGATTTGTGCATATTTTCATCATATATATGTTTAATAACTATTTTCGATGTCAATGCTGATATTTAGCTGCTGAGTTGAAGCGACCATGGGAAACGAACATTCAACTCAGAAAAAACATCAGGTGAATTTTTTTCTTTTTTAAATTATTTTATATTAACATAGCTTTATGCAACATCTATGTTTTTCAGTGAAATATACAAGAAAAATGTATAATTTATTTCCCAGCATTTAATTTTTTTCAGCATTTAGCAACATCGTGAATACAGTTGTTAAAAGTACAAATATAATATTTAGTAATATTTTATAATATTTTGTTGTAGACGATAGTTTTCAGTGTATAGCAACTAATTTTATGTCAGCTATGTGTTTGTTTTGGTAGATATTTGTGTATATTCTCCATTCAGAAAAGGCAGATTATAAATGATTATACATTATGCATTATAAATTCATATAAATTATAATAATTCTCATTTTCCAATTTAATTGTGATTAAAACCTTTATCACATTAAACTCATGTGATAGCTTTATGTTTACTGAGACAATTAAACCAGGGTTATTTTAATTAACTAAACTAAAACCATAAAAATCACTAAAAATTAAAAACCAAAAAATCTTTTTATCTTAAAATAAAAATTTAATTTAATTGAAATAAATTCCAAATTCAAAAATTCTAACTGAAACTAAATTAAGAAAAACTATACAGACATGTTAAAAAAAAAAAAAAAAGACAAAAACGTACAACAAAATTACCAAAACTTTTAACTAAAATTAAAATGGAAAATACTAAAATAAAAACTAAAATATACACCATAATAGAATCTCAATGAAACTAAAATAAGGTAAAAGAACAACAGATCATGAAACTAACTAATATCATTCACCAGGCAAATGCTGAGAAAAAAGTCCAAAATGGAGAGCTAAATGGACATGCAGTACCAGCTCCAGATAAAACTGAACCTGGTATGTATCTGAAATACAGCACATTTCTGTTCATGTGACTAAATATATCGTCCCTCGTAATTTCAACGTAAGGATCTACAGGAGTTACTTAAAGTTAAACTGGCAGGCATTTACATTGTTTGGATTAACTCAGCAAGTCAACCCACAATCAAGAACATGACTCAAAGCTCTGTATAAACTTTGGGTGTTGTAGTCACATGCATGGTGGATAAAGCAATGTTTAATTTGCATTTTGTGTGCATTGCTAGTTTGTTGTTGCTAACACTTTCACAAAGCCTTTATAGAAGTGAAATGCAGTACATGTTCCATGCTCCTTGAATGCAAAATGTTAGTGATATGTATAGAATGCAGATGCATGCATTTGTTCATGCACATTTTATGAGAGAATGAAAGCTGTACAATGCACATAGAAATAGGCCAGAAACCTACTTTATGCAAGCATGCAAACGCGTTTGTCTTGTTGAATATAGTTGTGCTCTTGCATTATTTTGGCTGTAACCTCAAATGTCCTTTGAAATGTCAAGTGTGTATAAGAAGTGGGTGTGTATTATGATTTATGACTGGTCAAAATGATTGAAGGCAATAGATATTATTGTCCCTGTACACTGCATACATCATTTCTTTCATGTTTTTGGTCTAGAGACAAGCAAAAAAGAAGCAGTGGAGCAAAAGAGTGAAACCCCACCAGTGCCTGTCACAAATGAACCAAAACCACCAGAAAAAGAGGAGGTAGACAGCAGTAAAGCCAACGGACCTGCGCATGTGGAAACGACCCCTGAGCAAAAACCGACAGTCACAACAGATGCAGAACCACCCAAAAAAGCCCCAAAGCCCAGTGGAGATGAGGTGTCCAACTTCCTTGGTAAAATGTTCAAAAAGAAGAGCGAACCTGTGAAACCTGTAGCAGAAAACAACGATTCAGTTGACGCACCGGCCAAAGCGGTGGATCTGAATATCGACATGCAGACTGTAAGTAGAAGTTGCAAAAATGAAAATTTACTCTCCCTCAGATGTAGATGAGTTTGTTTCGTCATCAGAACAGGAGAAATTTAGCATTGCAACACTTACTCACCAATGGATCCTCTGCAGTGAATGGGTGCCGTCAGAATGAGAGTCCAAACAGCTGATAAAAACATCACAATAATCCACACCACTCCATTCCATCAGTTAATGTCTTGTGAAGTGAAAAGCTGCTTGTTTGAAAGAAACAAATCCATCTAGACGTAAAACACGTAAAACATCAATTAAATGTTTTTAAATTGTTGCTCAAATGCTTTCTCCAGTGAAAAAGTTTTCTTTTCTGAATCAGGAGAGAAATATGCACAGATCGAGCATAGTTTAAAAGCCAAAACAGTCCAAAAAGTCTAAATATGTGGGTGGATTTTGACAGCTGATGGAGAAAGCGTTATTATGGATTATGAACTCATATTTTGGCCAGAAGCAATGGTTTGAAGTTAAAAAGCCTGGATTTGGATTTGTTTCTTACAAAAATGCAGCTTTTGGCTTCATAAGATGTTAACTGATGGACTGGAGTGGTGTGGATTATTGTGATGTTTTTATCAGCTGTTTGTACTCTCATTCTGACGGCACCCATTCACTGCAGAGGATCCATTGCTGAGCAAGTGATGTAATGCTACATTTCTCCAAATCTGTTCTGGTGAAGGAACAAACTCATCTAAATCTTGGATGGCCTGAGAGTGAATAAATTTTCAACAAATTTTTTTTTATTTATTTATTTTTTTTTATTATTGAACCCTTTCCCCAGTCACTAGATTTCTCTGGTAGCCTTGTCTACAGTGAAACGTGGCTTTATTTTAAACATCAAATATTAATAATTAGCTATGATTTGTCACATTGCACAGCATTTTTGCTATTATTAGTGTGGACAGAAACATTATTTGACATTGGAAAATGTATAATGTAAAAAAGCTTGAAGCACATTCATCATAAACCAATAATGCTTTAATATGTTTAGCTGATGGTTATGGATACCTGAAGTTTTCTGCCGGGCATCTGCCAGGTAACAACAAATCCAAGTAAATCGCAAAAAATGTATTGCACTCTGACTCTGACCAATTTCTCATTCCAAAAGGATTTCATTAATGCAGACCAAAAGGAGATTCTTGAGCAAGTCGCAGAGAAGATCAAATTGCATTTGGTTGACGCCATTCCCGCGCAACTCATAAGTTCGAGTTTTTTGACAAAGAATTCCTCAAATCCAGATTTGCATGCTACACAAGAACCAGTAGCTGTTGTGGAAGAACCAATAACTGAAGAGCCAGTTAAAAGAAAAGCCAGCGAGATACATATAGGATATCTGAAGTCTGAAGATGCAGAACCTAAGACTGAGGAGGATGACAAGGCCTTGAAAGAAGACAAAGAACTTATACAACTTGTTGAAAGCATAATATCGGATGAAAAGAAACAAGCATGTGAGAACGAACCAAATGGAACCAAACATATGAATGAGGAGCTTGCACCTATTTCCAAAAACCTGACGAAAGTAGCTGATGAAGCAGTTGGTACCATTGAGGTCTTGTCTCATGTTGAGGAACCAGTCGTTGGAGCTGAAGAGCCATTGCTAGTTGCTGAAGAAATTGCAGATATTGTTGAGGAAATCCTGCAGATCACTCAGGAACAAGAAAGCCTTGATGCAGAAGAGTCAGAAGAACTTCAAAGGAACAAGTTCAAGGAGACATCATTAACAACATCAGAGGAACCATTAACATCATCTGTGAAACCAGCGCTGATTGCCAAAGAAGAAGCAGCTAATGGATTGGTGGCTGTAGATGAGGAAAGCTGGGAGATCATTGAGGAGCCAGTGAACATCTCTGGGCGTTTAGAAGAACCTGCGCTCACTAAAAGTAAATGTGATTCAGTAGATTCTTCTCAATTGCTTTCCCAGCTGAGGTCCGTGTGCACTAAGGTTTTAGAAGATGCTTCATATAAGGCGTTCAGTGTCGATGTATGTGCTGATGAAAGCACTGTTCACATCACGATTGAGCTTTGCCCGGATGAGCTCACATGTCTGAATAAGGTCAGTTACAATACCGACGAGAAAGCCACAGCATGGACGAACTCACCGCATGCCATTCAATCAAGATGCAAATGTACTAGCTCCTTTCCTCAAGATGCTTGTCATCAATTAACAAAAAATTAACATCAACGATCAGATTTGTTCCTGAAGATGACATCGAAACGTACTACAATCAAAACCCATAAATGTGTTGTCTCTATTTACTGTACACTACCAGTCAAAAGTTTGAAATAATTAAGATTTACTTATGTTTTTGAAAGAAATCTCTTATTTTTAACCAAAAACACAGTGAAAACAGTAATATTGTGATACATTATTACAATTTAAAATAACTGTTTTGTGTTTGAATACATTTCATTTTTCATTCTAATATGCTAATTTGGTGCTTAATTGTCAATTATTATTGGTGCTCAATTATTAATAATGCATTATTATCAGTGTTGAAAATGATTTTTGCTGCCTAATGTTTGTATGGAAACAAAAATACAAGATTTTTTGATGATTATAAAGTTCAATGAACAGCATTTATTTGAAATAAAAAAAAATCCTTGTAACATTATAAATGTCTTTACTGATCAACTTTACATTGATCAATATAATGTCTTTATATTGATCAATATTCTGTGGCCTTTCTAAATTTGTATTAATTATTATTCATATTATTTAAAATGTTACTTACCCCAAACTTTTGAATGGTATATATAAAACATATACACTCACTGGCCACTTTATTAGGTACACCTTGCTAGTACCGGGTTGGACCCCCTTTTGCCTTCAGAACTGCCTTAATTCTTCGTGGCATAGATTCAACAAGGTGTTGGAAACATTCCTCAGAGATTTTGGTCCATATTGACATGATAGCATCACGCAGTTGCTGCAGATTTGTCGGCTGCACATCCATGATGCGAATCTCCCGTTCCACCACATCCCAAAGGTGCTCTATTGGATTGAGATCTGGTGACTGTGGAGGCCATTTGAGTAAAGTGAACTCATTGTCATGTTCAAGATATTCCACACATTTCACTGGTAGTTTAACTGTCTCAGATGTGCTTGTTTTGTCTTTTTCTTGTGTATTTTACATTTGCATGAAATGCAAATAATATCTAACAACTAATGAACAGCCCCTGTAACTGTACACCAGTCATCACCAACCAGCTGTTGTGGAGTTCCATCTGTCATATGTTCGACATAACTGATTTCCACTCAAATATAACAAGCAAAACACATACTGTATAATCTAAATATGACAGATTTTACCCTCAGATAAAGCACACGCAGGACGTTAAGTCCAGCACATTGCTGAATATCAATGAGTGAGGGGGGGAAACAGGCGTTAATAAAAGGATGATTGTTGCCGCTGGCTGGAGTAGGCAGAGGCATGGATGGAATTGTGCCCCTATTTCAATGCATCTATTGCACATCAGCTGTAAGGGTTGTAACACATTCCCAAGGGCTAATTCTCTGGATTTGTCTATAGGATCCAGTGGACATAAAGAGCAGCGCAGAGCCGGAGCCGGAGGCTGAAGCTCTCGAACCCAGTCCTGTGGAAGCCGCAGAAGAAAACAACCCGTCAGAGGAGGTCAAAGCAGCAGAAAAGACAGTTATGAACTTTTTCAAAACATTTGTAAGTACATTTGAATTGCTTTGTTTCTTTTAATACTTTTGAATGCAGTTCTAATTCTCTTTCAAATGAAATGCATGTTTTAAACTAAGCTACAATGATCAATTTTAATATTATTGAGAAACGTAACCACGCAGTGTTTATGGAATATGAATTATAAGCATAACAAGTGTGCATTTGTCTCTAACTGAACAATCTAGACATGTTGTGCCAGACTACAATGATGCATTTTTACTCCATCATTGTGGTGTTTGTTATACTGCGTCTTTAATCTGTTAAACTCTGCTAAATCAATCCTTTGGACATGTCAGACTGTGGCAGGCTTTTGTTTGCTGCATAATGTGAGCTCACAAGGGAGGCCTGTGCATTCGAAGTTGTGATAAAGCACGGGAAGGCCTACGCCATCTCCAGAGGACAATGGCTGACTCAATAGCAGAAACATGTTCGGATCGGCCCCTGCCAGCGAGCTCTTTGTGTCTGTGGCAAAGCCAGCTCGGCTGAACTGCGTCTGGGTTTGACAGACGCCCATTATATTTTTGATATCTCAATCTTCGATGAGTAGGCCCGGTTTGGAGACATGGAGTACCTGAAGGAGCAGTATATGCTTAAACACGCCACTCTGATGGTGTTTCACAGTCACTCTAATGTTTACGTGTCTCCGTTCTCTTTTCTGCATGCGAAGGTCACTCCGACCAAAACAAGCAAAGAAGCCAAAGCCACTCCTGATGCTTCAAAAGAGCAGGTAATAAAACCTTGACTGTCACAACATTACTCGTTCATATTCATGAGATATTATATTATATTATATTATATTATATTATATTATATTATATTATATTATATTGTATTGTATTGTATTGTAATTTTTAAGGTTTGAAATGATTGTCATAATATTATTAATATTATTATATTATAATATAATCTATTATAATATAAGGCTTTCATTTCTGCAGAGGATTGTTTTTAATAATTATTATAGGGCTGAATATTTTTTAAATGACTCATTTTTGATATGACTCCCTAAATTCATTCATTCATTCATTCATTCATTAATTTATTCATTTATTCATTCATAATAAATTTATAAATAAATAAATATAAAATAAAAAAAAATGTATGTATGTAAGCTTTATTTATACATTTATGAATAAATATAAAATAAATACAAATTGTATTAAGTTATCAATGTATTTAAGCATGTTTTTATACAAATTTATGATATTCTATGACATTTTTTCATGAATAAATGCATATAACATAAACAATCAATTTTTTTTATTTATTTCTTTTTAATCTCTCTAAGCATGCATTATTTATTTAAGCATGCTTTATAAATGTATTAATAAAATAAATACAAAATGTATTATTTTATTTCATTGTTTGTTTATCTAAGCATGCATTATTTATACATGTATAAGTAAATACATACAAAATAAATATACAATTTAATTATTTGTTTGTTTTTCTAAGGATGTTTCATTTATTTATGAATTTATGAATAAAATAGAAATTTAGAAAAAAATGTTTTTATTTATTCATTGATTGTTTTATTTATTTATCTAAGCATGCGCTATTTATTTATGCATTTATGAATGTATAGTTTTATGCATTTATAGATTTATGTCTAAATAAATAAATAATTCAAGCTTAGATTTTTTTGGGTGAAAAAAAACCTCTATATATTATAGCAAGATATAGTGATTAAATAATATTTATTGTCCTCATGTTTATTCTTCAGTCACAGAAAGAGACCCCACCAGCACCATCAACAGATGTGAGCCATTTCATTTACATCACATATTTTATTGCTTTTATAATATTTCCACGTTTTTCTAATCATATTTTCGCAAACACCATAAGCGATACAATAACGCCACAGGAAAGCTGCTGTAAAAAAGAATTGTTTTTGAGAAGTGCTTTGTTGACAATGAAGCATTATAAAAGAATAAATAAAAATGTATACCTACCTGCCGTTTTATGCTTGAAATAAAACAAACTGCACTCTTTTCTAAGGTACAGGAAGCACCCAAGGCACCTCCTCCTCCTCCTCCCCCAGCTCCACCTAAGATGGAAAGCAAAGCAGAGCCGGCGGTGAAGAAAGAGGAAACGTCTGCAACAAAAGCAGCGGCAGCAGCTGCAACAAAAGCAGAGGGATCTGCCAAGAGCAAAACTAAAGCATTAAGCAAACTCTTCCGTTCAAAGGTAAGCTCGAACCTGACAGCAGTAACAATAAACCACATTAATAAAGTCTTTCTGTCTGGTTCTGGGGTAGGCCTGGACTCTTATTATACATCTCAAATCTATATGTAGCGTATGTGGCACACTATAACAGAGTAATGTGAATTTGAGGTGTTGCTAGGCAAAGTGGTGTCAAAAGTTCAGGCGGCGACCAGCAGTGGAGCCAGAGCTAAGACGTCAGGAGTGGTAAATGATAACAAGCACAGGCTCTTCTGATATTAACAGAACTGACCCAATACTGTTAACTCCAGACATGCTAATTAATACAAAGAGCTACTGTTGTTTTTCCTTTTGTGTGAGAGAGCTGGAATCAGAGCCTAAATCTAACGTTTTGCCACACCTGCCAATGCCAAAATTTATGTCATAAACATTTTTTACCAGCCATGAAACTGTATGTTCATTATTTCATTTAAAAAACAGGCAGAACAAACTGGGGAAACATGTACTATTCCTTAAAAAATGGATTTAATGATAATAATTATTATTATTATTATTATTTAATCAAATTATAAAAAGTAAACAAATCAATAAAGAAATATCACTATAATATTATTGAGTATTTCATTATAATAATGTTTTTCTTTGTATAATTAATTTCATAATAATAATAATAATTAGTAGTAGTAATAGTAGTTAATCAAAATATAAAAAGTAAACAAATCAATAAAAAATATTACTGTAATACTAATGAATTGTAAAGTATCTCATAATAATTAATAATAACATAATAATAACAAGTAAATAATAATACCAATAAATAATATTGGTAATAATGATGATTGGCGCATGTTGCATTAATTATTCATGTTGTAAGAGACTCCAACTCACAGTTCAGGTGAAGCAGCATTGACTGAAAACCGTGAAAGAAGTGCTTATTTATCAGATTATATATTTATATATGTACAACTCAGTCTTTGCAATTTAATAATCACGCTAAACCATATCGCATTCTCTGGCATTTTTAGAATTAATAAAAAAGTTACCAGCCAACTGGCGTGCAACACAGTTTCATATACCTACCAATGCTGATCTTCACTCACATTTGGCGTATGGCGAGTGTTAATTTTAGGCTCTGGTTATAATGCATAATAATGCATAATGAGGTAGAAAATGTGTTTGCAATGTTTTCCCACACAGGCATAATACATTATGCCATTCAATTAGCGGAAAACTCATTGGAAATAATGAATGAATCTGTGAAGGTCCATTATGGTGACATCATGTTGACAGCAGCCATTACCTCATGTCACAACAGCCGCCAACTAAACCATGTGACTCTCCATTCCACCACTTCATAACTGACATCAGATTTATCCAGCGACCGGAGGCTCTTGTAAGGCTTTATGTGACCAGTGACTCAGTGTTTGTCCCTGCTAGGATAAACGGCCAGTGTAAAGTGCCATAGGAATTGTAGATTATTGCAAAATTAATGCCAATATGTGCTTGCCTGCAGCCTGTTGTGGTGGAAGAGAAAAAGCCGGTTGAGGTGCAGGTAAATACCTTTAGCTGATCGATTGTCTCTTTGCACGGTGGTGGGTCTGTCTTCCTAAATAAAATCATTCATCTAATATTTACACTTTTGTACTTGAACAGGGTATAAAGCAGTGTTGCAATTTTAGTAACGTGAAGATTTTATCTAATGTTGCGCTTTTTTTTTTTTTTTTTTTTTTAAAATTTCTATCCATCTTTCTAATGTTTCGCTTTTTTTTTTTTTTTTTTTGTTAACATCTATCCAACTTTTAAAATTATATAAAAGTGTCCAGACTTTGACTGAAACCTTTCTGAGAAAACGAATATTCTCAGTCAATTTTACACAAATTATAGTTTTGGTTGTATTTATCAAAATCGGCCATTCAAGCCTGTTACCAAAATAGGTTTATGGGACAGTTTATGGGACATATAATTATATTAGTAACTATAAACCAGCATTTGGTCCCAAAATATTTTTTTAAAAGATGTAGGCTTATCTTCAACCCTGTTACCTATTTTGGATTAAAAAAAAAATAAAAAATAATAAAAACTTTAATAAAAAAAAAACAAACAAACAAATAAATAAATACATTGCATTTAGCTTCCCATACAGCAAAAAATATATTTTCAAATATATATATATATCTCAAAATATACAAAAAATGTCTAAAAATATATATTTGCTAAAATATGTTTCAAAATATATTTACGTAAATATATTTTTGGCCATTTTTTGTATATTTTTTAATGTTTTAAATGTATAAATATATTTTTAGAAAGCATTTAAAAATATATTTTGCTATCTATATTTCAGTCCAAAAAAATGCCACGTGTCACATGTCACGTTTAAAGAAAAACTTGATTTGTTGTCTATAACGTGTGCAAACATATAACACATTTAAATAAAAATCAGTGAGGAACATCATTTAAAGTGCTCCAAAAATGCAATATTGCAATCTATAAAAATATTAAACATTATTAAATCATTATAAATCTCCTTTTGATCACTAGTAGGCCATCCATATTTGTATTTAGCCTAAATGTAGGCTACTGTAAGACTGGAAATGTATAACTCTTTTAGTGTACAAAATAGTACAAAATGAAAAGAAAAAAAAGAACAATTTTGTTAACTGGGTTGCAAACAATATATATATATATATATATATATATATATGTATATATATATATATAGCTTATATATAGTTAGTTTAACGCAGTACACGTAGCAAGTTTTTTTTCTTTTCTTTTTTTTAAATTATATAATAAATCAAAAGAAAATAGATAGAATACAAAAAGAATAGAGCAAGCTAGTTTTAGAGGCCTTTTTTTGTTTTTTTGTTAATTGTATTATAAATAAAAAGAAAACAAAGATAGAATACAAAAAGAATAGAGAAGCTAGTGTTATTTTTATTTTTTTAAAGAAAACAAGCAGTTAGTAAATGCAAGTCTAATGCAAGTCTTTTTTTTTAAAGAATAGAATTAGAATAGAGAGTGCTAATATGGAAGATATGTGATTTTAGCCGATTCTTGAATATGGCTAAGGATTCAGCTGCTCGGACTGAGTTGGGAAGGTCATTCCACCAGGAGGGAACATTTCATTTAAAAGTCTGTGAAAGTGATTTTGTGCCTCTCTGGGATGGCACAATAAAGCGAACGCAAGCTTCTAGGGGGCACATAAGTCTGAAGTAATGAATTTAGGGAAAGGGGTCCACGGTGCAGAGCTAGTGGTGGTTTTGTAAGTAAACATTAATGCCTTTTTATGCGAGCAGCTATTGGTAGCCAGTGCAAATTGATAAACAGAGGTGTGGCGTGCATTCTTTTCGGCTCATTAAAAATTAATCTTGCTGCCGCGCTCTGGATTAATTGTATAGATTTAATAGAACTGGCTGGAAGACCTGCCAAGAGAGCATTGCAATAGTCCAGCCTGGACAGAACAAGAGCTTGAACAAGGAGTTGTGAAGCATGTTCCGAAAGAAAGGGCCTGATCTTCTTGATGTTGAATAAAGCAAATCTGCAGGACAGGGTAGTTTTAGCAATGTGGTCTGAGAAAATCAGCTGATCATCAATCATAACTCCAAGGTTTCTGGCTGTTTTTGAAGGCGTTATGGTTGATGTGTCTAACTGAATGGTGAAACTGTGATGAAATGATGGGTTTGATGGAACCACAAGGCAAGGCAAGGTTGAGTTGAAGGTGATGGTCCTTCATCCAGCAAGAAATGTCTGTTAGACAAGCTGAGATGCGAGCAGCTATCGTCGGATCATCAGGATGGAA